CTATCTTGGAAGAAAGAAGGAGTGTTGTAGCAGCAAAGTAAGATCTTCTGTATCCTATCAATCCAGAAGAGAAGCTCTCCTCACTGTTTCTGTAGGTAATTTGGATGGCATCTCTCTCCCTCCCTCTCTCTCCAGCCCTCCTTCCTTCCCTCCCTTCAGTTTAGCCAATGAATTCTGCTTTATGATTACGGTCTGACTTTGAAGTTCTGGCTCCCTCTGCTGTTACATAAATGTAGAAATTCTACAGACACTTGAGAGGAACAGCGACTTCAGCAAAGATCTATGAAGTTATCTGAAGCGCGTCATGCACTTGTGCTGCACACAAGTGTGCACTCGATTGGAATCTTGTGAACCAAAGGGACATCATGCAGGAACAGAGCCTAATCCTGTTCTCCATGCTGAGCCAAGATTTCTGTAGGGCTCAAAGAGAATTTTGCCTCATAAGTATGAACAGGTTGCCAGTATTGGTTTTCTCAATTTTTCCATTCCATCACAGACTGATACTGAAGTTTTATTTTAGAATGATCCAGGCTACAATTCCTGAAATTGTGAAGTGGAAGAGGTACACTGTTATCCAGGCAAATAACTCAGAAATGCAAGAGCACTGAGGCAAGATGGAAACAGAGGAAAAGAAAGAACTGTAGAAATGCCAGTTTGCCTTGCTTTTTTTCCCAGGTCTTTCTCGTGAAAAAAAAAACAAGGCAGAAATCAGAATTGCAAATTTTTCTCAAGAATTGGGAAAATACGCAAACAGACTATTTCCAAAGGCTGTAATAGAATAACCTAATTTCAGTTTTTACTTAAAGTGGCATTTAAGCTGTGGTCTACTTATCTAGCCCAGTGGCTAATGCTATTATGGGGCCCTTCTAAAGGTATGATGAGTAGTTGTAGTAAATGGGTGTTTTCATTTGTAGGCATGTAGTATGTCAACAGAAATCAAACATTTCAATATCAAAATAAGTACTAGCTCTTGTCAATTAAACTTACCAGCTCTTATCGACTAAACTAACTGTGGGAATAATTTTTCATTTGTACTGTATTCTTTCTTTCTTTTATTTTTTCTGACACCAGCTCTTATTCTGCTCATCTATTTCAAGATCTCAGTTGACATCTTTCGTCATTAGAGAAATAAGCAAAGCAGAAGCAGGATTATTTAAGGTCTTTCTAGCCTATTTTAGCATTTTTTTATGTCTCAAGATGCCAAGAAGCATAAAACAGAATCTGTGTAATGAATGGTATAAGACGGAGTGTTGTCCTTAGTGACTGATTCTTTCTTCAGGAATGCTTGAGCTGCTTCTTATTTTGTATTACTTATTTTTTGCAGCCTCCTTTTCACGAGCTTTATTTACCAGCTGGTTTGAACCAGCACCCCATATCCCAGCATTTCCCTTTCAGCCAGGCGACTCAGAAGGAGATGACTTTTCTGATCTGGTTAGGGAAGAGGACATGAAGTTTGTTCTCCAGCTGAGAAAGCATCAGCCCACATAGGTATTTAGACTCTTGCCAGTTCCTTAGGAAGTAGAAACTTCCTATCTTATTGGAGCCAGAAATGCTAAAATTATTTACTTAGCTGGCCTGTTCATTTCTGTTTCTTCCTTAATTTATTTATCATATGTTTATTTGTTCTGCTGTTCAAAGCATTAAAGAAATGGGAGGAAGACCGCTAGGAAACAGAAAGTTCTTTTACTGAGGGCTATTTTGATTTGTGAAGCTGTTCTCAACCCTCTCAGCTTGCAGTATTCCTTAGCTAGTCTTATCTCCACACCTTCCGAACATCTAAAGATACGCCATGTCACTTTTATTCTCACAATACAGACATGTGAGCAGAGCCTGCAAACTAGGAAATTAGCATCTGCTCTCTTCTTAAAGTCAACAGAGAATAGGTGTAGCACTGTTCCTGAAAGACTGCTCAAGGCTCTGCTGCCCACGGATGAAGAAATGATCCCTAACCACCAATATTTTGCTATGGCATCTGGGACTTTCTTCTTGACAGATTTTTAGGATGAGCAACTGTAGTAAGGTTCTGGCCACTTTTTGATGAGGTGAATGGGGCTGCATTAGAGTCCTATTACACACAAATTCTTTCCACATCGTGTCCAAACTGCAGGGTGAAAATGCTCACTATTAAAAGATAACGTGGGAACAGTACCTGGGTCATTCCAACCCTTCCCTAGTTGGTGTACCTGGGACTTGCATGCACACAGCAGTCACTGAGTGTAAGCTAGGAGATGTTGCAGAGCTGGAGCTGCCATGCAGTAGTTGTCTAGACTGTAGCATAGAGGGAAAAAAACTGTAGCTAGTTTGGAGTGAGAACAGCAGCACCAAGACAAAGATGTAGATGCTGTTTCCTCGTAGAGGTGGGTCTTCTAGGCTTGGTGCAGCACCTTGCTGAAAAGGATGCTGGCACCCAAGCCGGTTGGTTTGAATCTGGCCATGTTTAATTTCACTATACAATGGAGAGTACTGAGCATGTGTCTGTGGAGAGTAGCTGTGAGGATCCTGACCCATTAAGGCTCATGCAAAACGCACAAGCAGTACTTGTAAGAGGGCGCATAAGGATTGAAATTCATCTATATGCAGGATACTTGCTGCTGGGAAGCAACGTGGAAGTACTGTATTCCCAGCTATTGCTAGTCACATGCCGGCCAGACTGGCTGTTTCTGTTCATATCAGTAGTCTTGCATTGATTCTACCAACCAAAGAACCATCTCCTGTGTGCTGTTGATACGGAATGAAGTAAAGAAACTGTAGCTGACATGCGGCTGTCCTACTATGCACAGAGCAGTGAGAAGACTTGCTCCCACTCTGTCTACAACACGTGCTACTCTTACGGGAAGGCAGAGGGGAACTGTCTTTATTTTTATTACATATTTATTACATATTACATGTCTATGTTTATTACAGGTGGACTCCATGGAGACCGTGTTTCAAGGGGGCACAGGTGCGCGGGGAAATAGTCTTCCCTGCTCTGGGCAAATAACTCCTTCCTGCAAGTTGTTATGGTGACAGTAAGGCCTCTACTAACAAACATTCATTGGGGGCAATTAAGCATTTCCTTGGGAGTGACAGAATTGTCACAGCAGTGGGATTACAGTTGCACTCTGGATGCTTTGAGGGGCTCCTCCAGTGTCTTGTCAAGACTTCAACCATATCAGCCTTCACAGATGGAGCCTTGACACACTGTCTCCTTCTTTCCTTTGAACATGGAATTTCAGAGGCCAGATCTCCTACAGTACACTTAGCAAATCTAATTGTGTTCTAGCATCTGGAGTCCTGCTCTGTCTGGTACCGTTAAACAGTGAGTAAACAGCATCCACAAAGAATAGTACTAGGTACTTAATGCTGAAAGCATACGGATAAAATGTGCCATGGAAGAGTACATAGTCCAAGTGTGTGCTAAGCTTATCAGGTCTACATGGCATCCCTGTAAGCATTTTGCACAAGTTTGATTTGGTTTTATTTTGTGAGAATCTCTAACTCTCTCTGAATTACAATAAGTATTTTAATCATTTTCAGCCTTCTCCAGTTTTCTCATTACCCTGTTTCCATGGAGTGAGCTATGAAATGGAGGTATCTTCCCAGGGATTTTTCTGAACTGCTTAAATGGTGTTCAAGCCTTCAGAAAAGTAGCCCTGATACTCAGGGTCCCCTAGGCAGGCCATTATAAATGCCTCTGGCACCTAGGAAGCTGATAGTATGATCCCTTCTATCTATATCTACATCTAATCTGTATCAATCTCCTCATATATACATATAACTGGGTGAAATCATCTGATCCACCCTCAACAAGCAGAAAAGTGAGGGCCCCTCCAGTGTCTGCTACTCACAGGTGGGAAGGGCTATAGTCAACTGCAGTGATGCCCACTCCATCACTTTTAAGAAGACACAGGGGAATATTGTCAAAGTGAGCTGCTATTAGTGAGTTCTAACTAATCCTGAGGGCCAAAATTTAAGAAACTACAGCTGTATTTCTAACTTCACCTGCTTCCTGGAATCACCTTAATGACTTTCTGGTAGTGCCTGGAGCTGTGGATGTTTTTTCCTTAACCACTGGTAAGCTGTTTTCCCTAGTATGTGCAGGTTTTCTACTTGTATACTCTCAGCACTGCACTGGTAGACCATTTGACTGGGTTTTTCTAAAATAGATATTAAAGAAAAGTTGTTACCATCAGCTGAAATATTTCGTTGTAATACACTTCAGCAAGATAGAGGAAAGACAGAAGAAAACACCTGTGATTCCAGTGCTGAATAAACTGAATGCACTCAAATGATTTATTTGGGCCTTTTAAGCTGTACTGTACTCTTGTTATAATTGCTCTTAATATTGTCTAAATATGTTTATAGGATATTTCTCATATAAACCATTTTCATGGACTTTGCACCAGGCACAGTGTAGTACCCAAGGTCTATTGGCTAAACATGTTTAATAGTCTAGGTTTTCTGTACAAACAGCTTTCATGGGGTTGTTTGTCAGTGGACTTCGATCCAAATAAGATTATTACAGGAAACTCTACCCCGATATGGAAGACTACAGAGCTATTTATATAGCATTACTTTGCAGTAGGTTGGACTCTCAGGCATGGGCTTATGTTTTTTGTAATATACCAATCATCTCCTGGAGAAAATGTTCCCTTGTTTGCACTAATAGATTGATCTACACAAGGCACCAGAGGAGGAGGGAGCTTTCAAAGGGCTGTTTTCTGCTCTGTTTTATCCTATTCTACTAGTATACACATCTGTGGGGGAATGTCAATGAGCGTAATAGCATAATGAATCAGTTTGTCTGGCAAAAATTTACATACACTCTAAAAGCTAGATAATTTCTAAATCAATAATTACACTTACAAACATTTACAGACACCATGAATTATTCTGTTTTCAAGAAGACCAAACAGTAACTCCATAGAAGGAAAAGCAGTGATTTGATATATGTGAAAATTTATTTAACTCTGGATCCCAACAGGAAAAAAGTCATAAAGTTATCTGTGGTAAAGCTTGGTTAGAAATGTGTATGTTATAAGACAAACCACCTAGTGTCAGAAATGAGATAGATGTGGCGCAATTAGAGCTGTGAAAGGCACAAGGCAAACTCCTGAAGTCATGTTGCTTTGCTGCTTTCCTCTGAAGGAGAGATCCAGAGCACATTCAACTTCTGGGGTAGGTGCAGAAGAGGAAAAACACATCGTGGTCTTAACCAATTCCATTGTAGACTTTGCAGCTTATGTCAGGATTAGTCTTCTTCACCACTCGAATGGAACAGCTTTTCTTGTGGAATAGGCCAATACAGTTCACCCTGTCATAGTTCTTGGGGATTAAAACCCTGTAATTGAGAAAGGCAAAGAGAAATCAGCAGCCAAGACATGGACTGAGGAGGATGTTCTCTGAGCCACAGCCATCCTGAAGCAATCATGGTTTGATTTGGTTCATGGATTTCATTAATACAAGCACTATGGATTATCATAGGAGGAATACAGAGCCCTGATCATAATTGTTAACAGATGAAATGATTTCCCAATGCTTGTTCTGGTTCAAATGCAGTTCTCACTGGTCAGTCTGTTAGAGATCTGTTTAGATGCCCGTGCAGTGACAAAATAGGAATTGATTCTGTCTTCCTCATTCAAACTAAAATTTTCCTGATAATAACAAACCATTTAAAGACTGCTGAATCACCCCAGCATGAATACCTCCCAGCCAAGCCTCTTCTCAGCACAGGACAGCTCCCTCCCTCCTATGCTGAAGACAGCCAGGACTATTTCCCACCAAGGGGTCCTTGGATTCTACCCTTCCTCACAGATCATTTACAGAACTCTTTCTCCCTCACCCGAAGAATTTTTCCAGCCTTCTGGGTGTATAATCAGGTCACACCACTATAGTCAGGAAGACACAGCTCTCCTTGATGTGTCACCTGCCATTCATCAGGCAGGAACACATGAGAAGATTTAGAAAGCAAATTATCAGAGCAGGGCATGCGTGTCCTGATGAAGAGTGGGTTCTTGGCAGCATGGGTAGAATTTGGATCAGCTCTGGCCTGACTAGATGCTTGCAGGCAGGCCACTGGGCTGGTGCAGAGCAGCAGAATCCCACAGGTATGAATGTTGCGGGATTTTTAGATATCTGGAGACAATCTGCTGAATAGGAGGAAGAAAACAGAGGCTAAAGGGAAACATACACCCAGTTTGTACCAGAATCAAAAGAAGGACTAGGTGATGAGGAAGAGCTGTGTGCTGGAAAGATCTTTACTGTGTTTCATTTTGTTTCTTCCCAAAGAAATCTATGAGTTTGCCAGATTATTCTGCTTGGTCCTGATCAGAGCTAACTGGAAAACAGGAAAAGGAATTTTGCTCATGTAAGTATGAAATTCCAATGCACATTTTCTGTGAGGCTTTTTAAGTCTGAACATTTCAACCAGTTCCTGAATAAGCAAACAATAATTTGGGTGAACTTACAAGCTGCAGCAAATCATTGCAGTCATCTTACACTTGCATTGGTAACAATCGTCAGTCTTCCATACCGCACCAAAAACATAGAGGTTTCTGTTTGAAAGGCACCCTGCATGTACACACCAGAAAATGATAGTCAGTAGATCAATGTGAACAGTTATCAGTAGACATAGACCACAGTCTTATGTTTGTGGACTAGCAATCAGAGCATTAATTTTCATAGAGTCGCACCAAGGAAAAATCTAACCCAGTACTCTGCAGAAAAGATACCATATCTAGTGTGCATGAGTGCATGGCATGGCATAATAAAGTGGTAGCAACCAGATACCACAGAGTATTGTTCTGCTCTTTCAATGGATACGAGAAATGCCTTAGATTATGACTATGGTAGGATCTTTCTGCCCTTTCTCACACTGATCACATAGGTCTAGACTTCAGTTTCTCCCTTCTCCGTCTTATTAGACTTCAACTTGGTCTTCTAAACTGAACTTAAACACCAGCTGTGTTGTCTTTGATTTGATTTTAATGTCAAGTACCCCCCTCAGGTTAGTCAAGGCTGCTCAAAAGTACATGGTTTTTGCCACATAGGCAATTTCATTTACACATCAGCCTAGAGGAACTGAGATAAAGCTTCTGTGTGTCCAGAGATGCTTCCAGGTTGATTCCTGAGTATGCAGCTGTTTGGAACATTTCTCAGCAAAGATTGTATCATACTATTCCAACATTTCTAAGAAAAAAAAAAGGGGGGGGGGGGGGGCTTTGAATCTCTGAATTAATGCTTTTAGGATGTCTGGTAGATTTGCTATTCTTACCATATTTGCTGGCTGGTCTGAAGTAACAGCGAGCATCACACAGAGTCCCTGAGAAGAGAAGGATCGAGCAAAAAAGCAGCAAGAATTTCTAAAAGAGAAACAAGTATCTTTCTTTAAAATTAGATATCTTTTTTCAAAGGTCTAGCAGACTAACTTGCACAGAATTAAGGATGAATCTTACTGTTCCCAAGAAACTTAGAATATAAAATACTTCCAGGGTACATACACAAACACACACTATAAGCTGCTAACTTACCATACTTGCATGGGTCATTCACTCTTCATAACAAAGAGTAGTGCTTTTATATACAGTGAGGAAACAATGATCAGTGCAAAGGGAGGTGACGTAAATGTGAGCACCCTGGGTGCCAATGGACACTTTAACCTGTTCCAATCATCAATCAGAAGGTGGCACCTCAAAAAAGTCTTGCATTGGCATCTTGGTCTCCATTGTGCTGGTGTAAATCTGAAAAAACTCCAGTAGACAGACTAGTTACTCCACATCAGCATTGGTGTCAGCGGAAGGGGCTGATTCCCAGAAAGCTAAGCCTCCAGAACTGGCAGGCCACCAAGGAACATGGGGAAAGGGCACCTGCTATGCAAGGCAGCAGGACACTATTGTTCAGCTGACCTGCTACAGGGAGATCGCCCCCAGGTATAGGGCAGGCTATTCATACAGGGCAGTAGTGTGGAAAGTCCACTGTTCTCAGTCTGATTTATTTTAATTTCAATTATTTTATATAAGACATATTACTTTGTCCATATTTAGTGACCTGCAGGGACTAGTTGTTAATTTGGATCTTCCAGTTGCTGAAGGCCCACGCCCAGGAAACAGAGGCAGATCACCACAACCAGATAGTACTTTTTCGGCAGCAAAAGTGAGATGAGCTGTGTATTGTCTCAGCCCAGAAATGAACATAAAAGTCATGATGATTGTGACTCATGGCTCCTTTCCTGAAAGCAGCATCAGTAATGCTAAGGGTTGAGGGAGGCAAAGAAAGAAAAAGTTCTAGTTTTCTTTCACTGTATGCTTGCCCTGCCTCTAACACAGCTTCTGACACAAATAGCGGTGCTCTTCGTGCAATGCTGAAATGAGGACATTTCTTTCAATACAAATCTTGCCATAGGTGTTCAGGTATTAGACTGTTGCAACACACAGTATGTGAGGCTGCAACTCAAAACCAGCCAGGAAAACTAGCGCAGATCCCAGTGGGTGTATCAAGGGCTGTAGGGATTCAACGCTTGCCTGAATTGGAGCACAGGCATAACAAGTTTTAGAAGTTACCAAAGTATTCCCAGAATAATGAGTTGCATTAATTTGGCTCTTTCAGCACACCTGAGTTTAATTAGACACCTTGATTGGTATGGCTGAACTTGCTAGCTTCCACTGAAGGAAGCAAAGCTGCACTGGAAGTGGGGTTTTGGAATAAACGGGGCAGTGGCAGGATAAGTATAGTCTCTTGAGGTATCTGGAGTAAAGGGACAGTTGTGGAGGAGGCAGCTGCTCTTTGTTGTGGCAGAAGATCTGATTTATGTATGTTCTTTTAGTTTATTAATTTCTGTGTGCTTAGCAAGAGGTTTTAGAGCTTCTGTTGTACTTTGCTTTTAGCTTTGCAGTGCATCTGTCATATTTTGTGTTAACCTTATGATTTTACTAGATCATGCTCTCTGTGTGTGGCTCTGCTGCAGGAAACAGTTGTGGTATCTGATGAAGTTCCTTGAGAAAATACTCCTCTTCTGGTAACCCTTAAATGAATTGATTTCTACTTGAAGGGAATGAGTTGCTAAAAATTATTTTGTTAGCAATTAGAGGCAGCAAGATGAAAATGTTGCATAGATTTTTCACTACTAAGCCTTAAAGTATGTAATATGAATTTGGTTTTATTTGAATTGAAACCATTTGATTAGAGTCTGGTGTAACTAGAGGCCAGATTTACTTCTGCCATGTCCCTTCTGGACAAATCTTGTGCTGTTTCTTGAGGAAAGGTGTTACAGCGTATAATCTCTCTAATAAGGGTGTAGTTTCAAGGAAATGTAACAAGTAATTTCTGTCTTGAAGAACACAATGGATTCTAAATTATTATTTTATTAAAGGTGATTATTTTAATTAATTAATTAGTTAATTATAATTCTTTTCCTTGGAGAAAATAACTGTATTAATAACTTTCTTAGAATACTTGCTTATTCTCAGATAGATAGAAAAATGTATAAAATAGGAAACTGAAGTGTAGTGAAACCAAAGCTATTACTGCCAGAAATGCCTGATAACCCTACCTTCTTAACCTGAAGTTTATATTAAAGCAGATGTAACTGAAGTTATCTTTTGGGGTTACAGTATTAAGCAGGTGTCCTCTGGGAGTTCTGGGAAGGTTAAGTTCTCCCAGCCTAGCTTGCCTAGCTGATGACTGTGATGGGTGAGAAGGTTGAATAGCTCTGAGACATGGAGACTATGGCAGCTTGCTGTTTTCCCTGGTACTGTCTTCCCTCTGGCAGGAAGGATTCAAGATTGACTTCCTGATGTTTTTAGGTTATGTAAATGCACCCTGCCCAAATCTTCTCACTAATGGAAGTTTTAAAAAGGCATTTCTCTATTAACTCTCCCTTTCCTTACCCATCAGTTCCCACCTTTACTAGTCTGGGACAGATTGCTGTTCGGTCTTTTTTTGCATGTGTGTGCATTTGTTTATTTTAAAGTTTAATTACTTCAAGTTGTTTAGCCTTTGCGCATGATCTCCTTTGTCCAGGTTGGTGTGTTTCTGAACACTCTCCCTTTGAAGCAAAAATTGAGTTCTCTAGCTGCTACTCGTGTACAGAAGGCTTGACTTCTTTGTTTAAACTGTTCAACAAAATGACATAACATAAAGGCAGTGTAACATCGCCACTACCTTGAAGAGTGGTAAAAGTTGCTTTTTGTGTTCTTCAGTAGTAGGATTATGGAGGTGGCAATTTTGGTGTCAATCCGCAAGTTATTTAGGTCCCAAGGTCCCACTTATCTCCAGCAGGAATTAACCCCTGTATAAACCATAAGTGAGTTCAGAGCAGCTCCCTCTTGTTTTGTTGGCTGTGCTGCACTTGTGACAGCTCTCTGCTCCTTTCTTCCCCTCTCCTGGAGAACACACTGCAAAGCACAAGGAACCTCAGCTGGAACAGGCACATGTGCATGTCTGAGTTGGCATAACATGAAGAGATAGGTAATGGCCATACTTGGATGACAGTGCCCCTGGGTCGCTGCTCAATGATGGACAAACTGGGCTCTGCCAGGCTGGAATAGCAATGACTTTCTTCCAGTTAGGCGGTAAAAAAAAATAAATACTGGAATAGCAGCGCTATTGCATCCATTGCTATCTTTGGTGTAATCTAGCTTGAATAACCATCCAAGGGATTATTAAACCTAGCCTACACTTATCATGGAGAGGTTGCATGTGCCAGTGATAGCAAAGTGGAGATGGCAGAAAAAAACAAGGTGACTATTTTTTTTCTTCCCCTGCCACCCCTCCTCTCTTTGACCTACTCAGTGAGAGTTCTGACTTCTTTCAGCAGTGCAGGCCTGCAGATGGCTTACCACTGCCATTGCTTGCCTTCATCCAGAGAAGTGTCTTGCTTTACTTCTTGAGGGAGTCCAGCTGAGGGGGTGGAAGGAGCAATAACTTCTCATGAACATCTGGACCTTACCCTTCTCATCCCAAAGACAAGAGTAGCCCAAATTCCTAAAGTGCAGCTATTCTTCCAGAGGGCTGGGAGTCGGGCTTAATGTCTGTGGGTGCAGATGGAGTCAGCCCCATGCTGGTCCTGAACTTCTCTGTGGGAGCTAGTAATAGCAGCTCTGGGAAGATGTCCTTGACCCTCTTGAGCATTACAGAGCTGAAATGAGCCTTTAGCTTCTTGGGTGTGACGTGCTCCTCATGTGACAAGCGACTACACTGGTGGTACCATTAGATATTCCTAAATTGGCTGGGCTTGGAAGAGCTCCATGTTAAGTTAATCCTACCAGTCCTAATTTTGCCTCCTGCTCTGCTCTTGTGTTAGTCTCTTCCATCCTAGCCAAACTCTGAAGGAGAAGGGTTACTCCTAAGCTGAGTTTCCGCTATCAGCGTTGGTTGTAGGCAATGAGCTATTTTGACAACTTCCTAGAATTTCAGTAGATGGCTAAAATATCATAACACTCTCTGTTGACAACTCTCAACACTTCTGTATTTATCAACTTTCCTATCTTTACTGAACATGTGAAGGAGCTGGGGAAGTCCTTGTCTCTTGCCTGACTAGAAACCAACAAAGCACAACCATTCTGTGTGCTATATTTTCCTGTACTGACTGCAGTCAGAGTTGCATGCTTGGCTCCTCCTTGGACCATGGCCCAAAGCAAACTGACAATGAAATACTTTTGGGTAAGAAGCTAAAATAACAAAGATCCTCAGTAACAGTGATAAAATCTCTCTTCTAGAGGATATCTAGCTAGGAAAACAAAAGTCATTAAGTACTTAATAGCTCTGCTTGTGTAGAACTTGAGATTATTGGTCTGTGTAGTAGAACATCTCCCAGTAGGTTTCTCAGTTTTTTTTCACCTTCTTGTCCCCTCCAATGCATCCACTGGATCCATTCATCTGATGATAGTTCTGTCTTGATTTAAGCTGTTCCTGAAAATACAGGTTTTTCACTAAGACTTAAACTTGTTTCCCAGTGACAGAGGACTGGAAGAAGCCTTAGGGTAGTCATCACAGAATCACAGAATAGTTAGGGTTGGAAAGGACCTTTAGATCATCTAGTTCCAACCCCCCTGCCGTGGGCAGGGACACCTCACACTAAACCACATCACTCAAGGCTCTGTCCAACCAGGTCTTGAACACTGCAAGCATTCACAACTTCCTTGGGCAACCCATTCCAGTGCCTCACCACCCTAACAGTAAAGAACTTCTTCCTTATAACCAATCTAAACTTCCCCTGTTCAAGTTTTAACCCATTACCCCTCGTCCTGTCACTGCAGTCCCTAATGAAGAGTCGCTCCCAAGCATCCCTATAGGTCATCTTCAGATACTGGAAGGCTGCATGGTCTCCATGCAGCCTTCTCTTCTCCAGGCCGAACAGCCCCAACTTTCTCAGCCTATCTTCCTACGGGAAGTGCTCCAGTCCCCTGATCATCCTCGTGGCCCTTCTCTGGACTTGTTCCAACAGTTCCATGTCCTTTTTATGTTGAGGACACCAGAACTGCACACAATACTCCAAGTGAGGTCTCATGAGAGCAGAGTAGAGGGGCAGGATCACCTCCTTCGACCTGCTGGTCACGCTCCTTTTGATGCAGCACAGAATACGGTTGGCTTTCTGGGCTGTGAGTGCACACAGAAGCCAGCTCATGTTAAGTTTCTCATCCACCGACATCCCCAAGTCTTCCTTCGCAGGGCTGCTCTGAATCTCTTCTCTGCCCAACCTGTAGCTGTGCCTGGGATTGCTCCAACCCAGGTGTAGGACCTTGCACTTGGCATAGTTAAACTTCACGAGGTTGGCATCAGCCCACCTCACAAGCGTGTCAAGGTCCCTCTGGATGGCATTCCTTCCCTCCAGCGTATCAACCAAACCACACAGCTTGGTGTCATCAGCAAACTTGCTGAGGGCACACTCAATTCCACTGTCCATGTCACCAACAAAGATGTTGAACAAGACCGGTCCCAACACCAATCCCTGAGGGACACCACTCGTTACTGGTCTCCAACTGGACATTGAGCCATTGACCACGACTCTTTGCATGAGGCCATCCAGCCAGTTCTTTATCCACCGAGTGGTCCACCTATCAAATTGATGTCTCTCCAATTTGGAGACAAGGATGTCATGCAGGACAGTGTCAGTCGCTTTGCACAAGTCCGGGTAGATGACATCAACTGCTCTACCCCTGTCCATCAGTTCCATAGCCTCATCATAGAAGGCCACCAAATTGGTCAGGCAGGATTTCCCCTTAGTGAAGCCATGCCGGCTGTCACCAACCACCTTGTTGTTCTTCATGTGCCTTTAGATGCCTTCCAGGAGAATCTGCTCCAAGAGTTTCCAGGCACAGAGGTGAGACTGACTGGTCTGTAATTCCCTGCGTCATCCATTTTCCCCTTCTTGAAAATGGGGGTTATATTACCCATTTTCCAGTTTTGGGGAACTTCACCTGACTGCCATGATTTTTCAAATATGATGGACAGTGGCTTAGCAACTTCATTCGCCAGCTCCTTCAGGACCTGCAGATGGATTTCATCAGGTCCCATGGACTTGTGCACGTTCAGGTTCTCAAGATGGTCTCGCACCAGATGATGGATGTCTGCTTGTTGATTTGCTGTCACAAGACAACAGTCTTTACTGTGGCTAAAGATACAACTGTATATGAGTTGAAAAAGGTGGCAGAGGGAATACTGAAGGAGCCACCAAAGGAGCAGTGGCTCTACAAAGATGCCCAGCTTCTAGATGATGATTATAGGACTTTGCTAGACTGCAGCTTAAGCAGCCAAAGCTGCCATCCTCATGTTCCTGCTGTGGTGAGCTTGGCTCTATTCAATCCTGGCAATGACACTTTTGAACAATTGCATATTGACCTCTTCTCAAACACCCCAGAGATACTTCTTGTTATGCAGTTATAGGAGTCTGGTAGCAGCTCTAGTGAGGAAGGCTTGTGTTAAAACCAACATGTCCTGTTTTGCTTCTTGCAGACAGGGTGCTGGTCTTGCCTATCTAACCTGTGTCCATCTACACCCTTCCAAATGTCTATCTGACCAGTAAAACACTGAAATTCAATTACATGATGTCAGTTGTGCTGTAAGGTCCAGGCAAACAATGGAACTTTCCTGGGTTCCTTATCCCAAATTAGTACTGGAGGAGATGAGTGGCAGCAGCTGGTTACATGTGCACTTCCTGAACCGTACATGGAATACTGTGCTGCTTGTTTCTTCCAGCTAATACCTGTAGTCTTATCAGCTCTCATTTGCTGGGGGCTTTGGGAAGGGAAGCAGTGTTGCACAGACTAACTTGGTCTACAGGCATTTGTTTTTCTCTTGTCTTCTTACGTTCTGACAGTAGCACCTTTGAGGAAGTTTTGGCTGGAAATCTTAGGGAATGGGGAGCTGATATAATAAAACTGCAGTTTGAGAGTTCTGTAAGAAGTTGGTTACCAAAATCCTTAAAGCATGATTGGTCCTATCAATGCTTCCACTGTTAACAAAGCTTATGAAGTTGCTTCTCTTCCCAAACAGAATTGATCCCAGCACTATTTTTTCTATGAACCAGCCTATTTCAGAATTTAATATTAGACTTTCCATTTTATCCCTAGTGATGTTTTCACAAGCCATCACATTTGATTCAACTTGCACTGCTGTGCTGAAAGGAGAAACTCCTGTTTTTCCTCTATTAACAGTCAGAGGTGCTAATGCATCTATTCCCTGAATGAAACTTTGAGGTAGTGTTATTGCTAAGTGTTTTGTTCTCCTAAATTACTGTCATAATTCTTCTGTCGTAAAACTTCTCCTGTATCAAGGGTAATTCAGGCAGGCCACTCTGCGTTCAAGTTCAAAAACTCTCTTGGAAATACTCAGTCCCATCCATGATACTTCTTTGGAAAGTATCTTTGGAAAGCTAAATATATAGACCAAAGACACTCCTAAAAAGCCACTTGCATTCTCAAACCTTACTGGAGTAAACAGAAATTGAGCTCATTTGCCAACTGAATCAGGATCTGGGTTTTGTGTTCCCTGCAGTTCTGATTTGTGACAGAGCTAGGATGTCATCTAGTGACTAGTGGATTTATAGGAAAGAAAAGAGAACCAAAAAAACCCTCAACAACACCAGAAAAATAAAGTTCTAGAGATGTCATATCTGTACATAAATAAACTGTACTAAAGTAGCTGGGCTGTAGTTATAGCAATATGCCTGATCAAGCTTCTGTTACTTTCCTACTAGGCTTGCTGAAAAACTCTGGTCCTTTCTGAAATTCTTTGGCAGTGAGCACCAAGGAAAGAATACTGGTTTGCCACTCTCCATTTCTGATACAATTTTGGTCATTCTAACTTTTGAACCCCTCCTTACTGAAGAAAAAAGGTAGAGTACCCCCATTTAAGAGAGACTCAAAAGAAAGTGATGGAGATGTTAATGAGGGATACTAACTCTTCAATAGCAGTTACATATGAAAAACCTAGCCCAGTCATGTAGCTAAACCAGATGTCAAACTTAAGGGTGTTATGCTCTCAAATGTCTCTACAGGATTCATAATAATGTTACAGAGCTGATCTCTTACCTAACCCATTTGTATAATTTGCTGTTAATATTAGAAGACAATGCTCTATGCTTTGAACGAGCTTGATTAATAGTCTGCCTTAAACAGCCAAATCCTACAAACAGGAACGAACAACTGACCTGGAAAAAGACGTTGTTAAATAATCCAGTTTATGACTTCAGGGGTATAAAGAATTTTGACTGAATACGGCACCAAGCCAGAACCTTGCTTGCCTCTGCTTGACCATCACCTCTGGTGTGCAGAACAGCAGCCCTTTTTGTTCAGGAGCAGGGTGAAAGCAGGAGAGCACCAAAATAAAATAAGCTCTTGCAACCCCTGGGAAGCCTGCTCTATGCACAGGACATGGAATATTGCTGTTAGGAGAGATCAAGCAAGTCCCAAACTAGGAACTGAAAAGTGGAGGCAAAGCTCTTCGGGAAGCTGTTGTGCCATTAGACTTTGGCTTGGCTCAGGATAGCACATCAGGGATGGTTCCAAGCTGGTATTTCAGCCCAGTACAGCTACCCTGTCTTTCATAGAGCAAACTGGAATGACTTCTGTATTATACAGCTTAGGGAATGAATTCTTTCGCAGTCTCTGAGTCATTATAGTTAGCTGTTAAACAAAACTGCTTGTTTCTGTCTCTGTAGGTTTGCCCCATCTTTGGCAGGCCAGGGCAGTAATGGGAGAAGTCTCTGGAATTAATGGAGAACATGCATCGTTATTTTGAAAGAAGTTATCTTGTGGTGGCAGAGGACTGCAGTTTATCACTGCTTTTTAATGGAGATCTACTTGAAGTATCGATTCTGCAAAAGCGCTGAAGCTCTGAAGAGCTGTAAAAATCATGGACCAATGGTTGAAGCACTCTGAAAGTAGTTAATGTGAAAACAGAATTCTGGGATGTGGGGAGGAAGGTTAAAGTAACAGCTCTTGCTGAGTGTTTTAAATTGGTTGTGTGAATTATGTGTTTTGGAGTTCCATGTAAATACCTGTTATAAAGCCAATCAGTTTGCCCTAAAATAATCCACAGCTTGGCCCAGGGAAACATGTGAGCAGCAATAGATTTGAACAAACTTTCAGGCTTTCAAAAGGTACCAATGCAAACTTCTCTGCATACCAATAGAAGAGCTAAGAGCAAAGCAAACAAGAAAAATTGTCATGAATCGAATTTATCAGAGTTTGTGGTTTTTTTAAATAGCATGAAACAGAATGTGAACTGCAAGCCTCTAGCTTCTTTGGTATACATAATGTAAATGAGAAATGCACTTTCCTTGTTTATGATTAAATTGAATTTTATTTTTAAGACTGGAGCAAAAAATCTTAATGGAACATTGAATGGCTACAAAACCACCAGTTTTAGGTGATGAGCACTGTTTAATAGGAAAACTTCCATCAGATTTATGTGTGTTCTGGTGTTTGGTTTAAAGCCTTGGTAGGCTAAGTACTAGATTTCATTTTTAGGCCAAGAACACCTTTCCAGTACTCACTGTGATTAGAGGACCAGCTATCTGAAACTGCCTCTCTTGGTAGCAGGAGAGCAGTGGGCTACCAGGTAAGGAGAGGGAAACTGGAAGGAAGAGAGCCCACAACCTCTTCTGCTTTGCCTGAGCTGTGGTGTCTCCCAAGGCTCTGCAGAGTCTCCTAAACCTTTTACACGTTAGGTTAATTGAGGAAACTCTTCTGTGAGTGTTTCATTTCCACTACATCGTGCAAGCAATGTTATGATCTAAAGCTTTGAGTGTGGAGGAATGTATTCTCTGTGTAAGACTGTAGCTGTGTGTGTTGAAGCAGTGAAATGCCAAAACAAAACATTGCTTTACTCTTCCTCCTTTTGACAAGCAGAACTTTACATGCTCTGTCTCTGCTTTCTTGATTTTTCAGGAGTTTTGTCACCCTCCCACAGCTAGAGTCCTACAGACAGAAGAGAGCCAAGTCCTTGCTGTGCTTCCGGTGTTCCAAAACTAGATGCAACAGGTAACATAATTTGTTTCCATGTTGAAACTTGGAGCAGACAAGAGGAGAGCAGACTGTTCCCTGGAGGTTCTTTGGTTTAGACATGAAATTACCTACTTCTGCATAGCTGACATGATAGATACGCATATTGCAACAAGACCTAGCAGATGGTAGAGAAAGCTGCTTGGGTGGATTTAAAATGTAGTTAAATAGATCTGGGTCATATAGGAATGCTGGTACAGGCTGGCTTTTCTGGACTTTGGATGCAAACATCTAGTAGGCCTTAAAAAATATAAATCTTTGGTTATGACTTACTTGAGACTTGCCATTCTCAATGGACATGCCTTAAAACTGAACCTAGAAGTCTCTTGCAGACAGAAAGACATCTATAGAATGGTTTAGGTTGGAAGGGACCTTTTTGAAGATCATCTAGCTCTGCCCCCTGCCACAGGCAGGTACACCTTCCATTAGATCTGGTTGCTCAAAACCCTGTCCAAACTGGTCTTAAACACTGCCAGGGATGGAGCAGCCACAACTGTTCCAGTGCCTCACCACCCTCACTGTAAATAATTTCTTTCTTGTATATAATCTGAATGTTTTAGTTTAAAACCTTTACCCCTTGTCCTATCCTTACATGCTCTTGTAAAAAAACTCTCTCCATCCATGCTGCTACCTTTCCTGTGTCACCTCCTTTGGTGGAAACCAGAAATAGCAACCCTACAATTCCCAAGCACCTTGGTGCAACTGAGCAAATGTACCCATAAAGATTATGAAGCAGTACTGTGAGGGAGAGCTGGAGAGCTTATACTGGAAAATGTATCCATCTCAGTTATTGTCTGTGGAATCATCTAGTGTCTTCCCTGTTTGAAGTATCTCCATCTAGCTGCAATCCTGCCTATTGGCCAATTTAAGAACTTGAATTTCTTAAGGGCTGATCTGAATAAAGGACCTTTTCTTTTACCCAAACCCCAGGTTGAGGACTCGGTTTGCTGTGCTGTGGATGCTATGTAAGTAAAGTGCGGGGTTAGACAAGGTAGCTGGTGGCTTTTTCAGTCCTTAAGCTGGGCAGGCTCCAGGGAGCCATATAAGATAAAAGATCATATAAGACACTTTCTTAGAAAAGAGAGTATTCAGAAGGCTTAAGCTGCTTTTCATTTATAGAATCATAGAATCATAGAATGGTTAGGGTTGGAAAGGACCTTAAGATCATCTAGTTCCAACCCCCCTGCCGTGGGCAGGGACACCTCACACTAAACCATCTCACCCAAGGCTTCGTCCAACCTGGTCTTGAACACTGCCAGGGATGGAGCATTCACAGCCTCCCTGGGCAACCCATTCCAATGCCTCACCACCCTAACAGGAAAGAATTTCCTCCTTACATCCAATCTAAACTTCCCCTGTTTACGTTTTAACCCGTTATCC